GTGAACGTCTGATAAGATTTGATCTAACCCCTCGATAAAACCAGAAAGCAGGAATAATAATCTTCTTATGTATAAAAACAGATGGAATGAATGAAAAACATGCTTTATCGCCTGCATTTTGTTAGGATATCACTGATCAGTATCGAACGTTCAACCATTAAGACGTCAATAAAAGATCACAAGTAGTATCTGATATTAAACTATAATGAACGCCGGATATTGAAAAAGTCCCATCTCCTACTCCCTGAAAAAATGTGAACGACAGCCATATCCCATCTTCTGACCTGTGATTATTTTCCGATATATGTCCGATTATTTTCAGACTTACTTCTTCGATGGGTTTGATGGCAGAATCAGAGAATGAATAGAAATTAAATAAAACAGGACGATAAACTTCTTGACATAACGAATGACGAGCGATAGGGGTATGATAAATATTTCGAGCACTCTATATATTTCCATCACTAATGATACCTCTGTTCTATGGAATACTTACATACAACGAATGTTTTAATACTTTTTATCTAAAGTCGAAAAACACGGATATGATAACATAACGTTAATATAACATATCAGTTGACAGTCGTTACAACAAATTAAATAACGAGGATAACAATGCGACAGGAGTCCGAATATGAAAACGCAATTACTCGTTACGGGGTTCGTTAAGAATTCTCTGGATTCTGTGCCCTCCGCTAGTTTCGTTTCCTTCGTTCTATGTTTCTTCGTCACCACGCAGTCGCAAAGTTGGGACGGAACTCGTTATCGGATAGAACGACCGATTACCGCCTCGTCTCGAGTTCGCCCTAGACTTTTAACGCGATTATACGTCGCTGAAACACTAAATTGCACGGGCCGAGCGCAACGAGAGTTAACACCTACGAAAACTACAAGATCGAGTAACGTCACTGACGTAACAAATAAGCGAGCTCACAATTAGAGTGAAAAGTCACGAAGAATGTGCCCGAAAATATTATAAGAAATTCTTTTTCTAATCTTTAGTTCTCATAGTACTTTTAATCACATGCAAGGTGAGTTAAGAAACTTCCATTTGGAATAAACAATTGCTTACTGTTTTAATTCAAATAAATTTCTTATGTATGTATTTACCATAAGGCAGTGCTCATTGTATGAATACATATATTTCTGTATTTTATCAAACCAAAATTTATTGTCTCTATAATAAAATCAATAAAGTATAATTTCAAATGGTGCTTTGTACTGATTTACCTTCTATATTTTATCCTAATAAAGAACGTAGCGTGTCAATGTTGTCAATCACGACAGTTATGTGTATAAAATTTTGGAATTAATAACGAGAACAGGTACGCGTTGTGCACGCAGACAATTCATCTTCATATTGTCGGTTATGAATTTTGCTTGATAATATCTCTAAACGTAGCCGCTGATTAGTCGATAATCTACGATTTTCCATTCTTAATTTTTCTAACAATTCAGTTGATCATTTTTACGACCAGAAATACTAATCTGTGATCTGATAACTTTATTGATCGGTTGTATCGAAAATGTAGGAAATTAGAATGTAAACTCCGTTTCTCGAAAACGAAGCTTGAAATAAAAAATCGTTATTCTATGTTTTCAGTTTACTTATTTCATAAGGAATCCACTTACGCCCGACTGTAATATCCGATACGAAACAGCCTGTGTATAAATCCTGAGACATAATATGCCCCTCTCTAAATCAATGAAGAAATGGTTAAAGTTACTTTAAGCTCTGAAGCAATCCTATAACTCGTCAACTATTACTCTGAATTCGAGCGTATCAGCGAACTTTCCGTGGCAGCAGATTTTCCGGTGGAGACGTAATCGAAAGTTTACGAGCATCAGCGGTGTTGCATCTATAAATTTTATCCGAACTCTTGCGTATTTTTACGACGCTCGACGTGAGTCGAGGGAATCGAGTGTTGCGCGAACAGAATTCCACGGAGGATAGTTTATTTGAACGGCTCGCGCAATTTTCGGCTATTTACAGATTCCAAGTGCCTCAAATATTCAGGCTCGATTGATTCCTTGAGCTCTCGCTATTTCACCTCTACCGAACCGTGCAGTAACGCATTCCCATCAATACATTCGCGATACAAGTGCCCCGCGCGCGTACTTATACATATGTATAGCACCGCACCGGCTGCTGCCTTCCACGCAAAGTATTTTTTAGCGTGTCGAATCTTTGTTTCGTTAAGCGATTTTATCGATTGGACGTCACGGCTGTAACGGTTAAACAAACGTTTTCCAATATTCGTGAAATTTTTTATTTTAATGAAACCTGTCGCGATAGAAGACTGTACATGGAAAAGTCTGTTGCGCGTGAACGTTTCTTTTTACCGTAATATCCATTATAAATATGGCAATGTCCGATAGCTTTATGGCAAAATACATGCAAAAAATAACACAATGAGGATGTATTATAAAAATATTTTAATAGTACAATCTTCAAGGGTTTCTTATGGCCGACTCTGTCTGCCGACTGGTGTTAACATAAACTCGAAAGAAACGGAGAAACTGCAACGGCTTCTGCTAAAAAATGTAGCATGGGTATCGGTGCCGGAGCTCTAAAAATTTAAATGCGGCATGGAAGGGGGAGGGAAACGTGCGAGAATGGTCTAGATTAGCGTCCACTCCGGTAGTTTATCCTGTAAATGGGAAAAAGGGAATTGAGGGGTGATTCGCAAGGAACCTGAAAGATCGAGCCAATCGCTCACCTGTTCCCAGTAATCGCATACCTGTAACGGTGTACGCGCGCTAAACCAATCCTCCCCCGTACGTATCGTTGTTTGGCCAGTTTTACGAGCACTTGCACTCCCGTGGATATCGATTACCGATCGACTTGGCCACTCCGTTTCCTTCCGTCTAATTCTAAAAAATGGACCTGGACTTCGCCGCAAACTTCGGTGAAAATACCAACCACTCTGAGATTCCTCGATACGAAGAAAAATCAATTTTTGGAGACATCGAAATTGTTTGCTCCCGTCCTTTTATTTTACTCCCGCTGGTTAATCAAAAACCTACCGTGTTAACTGGCGTATCAAAAGTTCGTTTGAAATATTAAATTTATTTTTCAAATAAAGCTTGCTTTAAAAGAAAATGATTGACATCATGAAATTAAAAATATTGTATCACATACACTTTCATTAATTTCAAATATTGTTACATTAATTTCCTCCGTCAGCCAATATAACACTATGAAAATTGTGTTCAACTTACATTATTTCTTAGCTTATATTCACCGAGTATATCGAAAGAAAACACGAAAGAACACTTGCATGTACGAAAACGCAATGAAAACGGAGGGAAAGCTTCTAGAGAACGTTTGAGAGCCAATTTACATATTCTATTGACCTTCTGGAGCTTCGCTAGTTCTGTTATCGGAGTAACTTTACCTTTCAAAGTGTTCCTAATATTACACTTCAGCCATTCGGTCAACTTCTATGGAGTAGTCTCACGAATGTTATCCCAGTGTAGATGGTGCGGATGTCCTCTGACGAGTTAACGTATGCCCACCTGCGTGCCCCAATGTTCTTCACAAGTACGATTCAACCCCAATTGCTATGATACCTCCCGCCTAAACGATCTATTATTCGGACCACTCAATTAACGAATATAACGAAATTCTTCTTAACTTTGCAATTATAATGAATGATCGGAAATTATAGTAATAGCAACGTAAGAAACAATAAAGCCAATTTCTTCTTTAGAAAAATTGAGTTGCAACTAAAGCTGACGATAATATGCATAAGGAAAAATTGTTCAGAGTTATATCTACGACATTTCAAGATCATTGAATTCAATATAGATAGGCACTAATTTTCAAATCAAAAATTGATAATTTGTTGAATTCCTAGTAAGTGACTTGATTGCGATTAAACTTCAGCGAACAGGAAAGTTTCTCCATCCCATTCTCCGCACCTTAAGGTACTCTTACAATTAAGCCCGGATTCAACTGATCTTAGCTTTACGCAAGAAATTTCAGTTTAGATTGAATCGCGTATAAATGAATACCACGCAATCACACAAACACTGGATGTAATCAGGAGACAGTTTCGAAAGTTTGGATTGGTCACACTCGGAGCGTCGATGTCCTTTCCACTTGCCTCCGTTTATTACAAGTACTTTTACGCGTGACGAGATACAGAAATACATCTGACGGTCCTTAATTAAAGCGGATCTGATATTAACATTTTTATTGCAATTTATAAAGAGTTACGTGCAATAAGTGAATGAACTTCACAGACCTCTATATGTATGTATAATTGTAGAGGAGTCTACAGTTAACTTTCATATAATATCATATTATAATTTCATATTAACTTTCATACAATAAGATGAAACCTCAGTTATTAACATCGAGGCCTAGCAATTAAAATTTAAATGAATTATACGATATCTTTTCTGCGAATTGTGTGATCAACGAACGTAACACTCGTACTCTATGTAACCTATTGTAGACTAGGAAGTATGCAAACGAGTACAAGCAAGGTATAAAACCGATATTAAATTTTATTACTTATTTATCGTTATATCTGCTATTACTACCAATACTATCGATTTCAGCACCGATGAATAAAATTATAATATCTTCAGTGTGAATTATGTTTTTAAAGGGAGATTTCTTTTGCATTAACTTTCAGCACATGTCCCATTATTAACAGTAGAAAATAAACAGTTATCACGCGTGTAAGAAGTACATTAACAAGAAAGTCGTTCGTCGGCGAATTCAAGAGCAAAAAATAACAAAATGACGGAGAGAAAGTTACCGTCGACGCGCCTGGTTGGTCATGAAAGATAACTGAAACTCGTTTCACACATATTTCACCGCGTATATCTCGGCGAAGAAATAAAATGTGTTAGTAAAACATGCGTTCGCTACGGGATAAACGTTCGACGATTACACGCGTTTATGCTAAAATAACGCGTTATGGCAATTATTCATCAATATAACGAGAAACGTGAAAGGGCAGGTGTCAGAATCAAATACCAACAAGTAACATTAATAAGATAAAATAGAATTTATTATTTATGAACATTCAAATGTCTAAACACACACATGATTACACACTAAACGAGGATGACGTGATTCCGAGATGATAATCGAGATCCCGATGCGGGACATATAAATTCAGTTGATATCTCATGGTTTTTTGTCATCGTCCTTGTACCAATCCTCACTGTGGAAAAAGATTACAATTTTTCAAATTAATTTTTTATCTCTCATTGTATTATTCGACAACCTTGGGCTAGGAAAATTATATAGGAAATTTAGTGGACGATTGTTAAGTCGTACGTACCAGCCGGGGACATTTTCAGGCGCGTCGCATCTCTGCTGTTCCTCGTTATAGACAGTGCCATCGCTGCAGCCTTGCTCACGCGGTGTCACGCCGTTCAAGCAGACATAGAACTTTTGACAATCCTCTGGGTGCGCGAATTTTGGATGATCGACGACCATTCCTCTGGTATCCCTTTCAGCCTCCTTCGGACACTCGAAGCCGTCCTTCAACTTTTTATCCACCGCTCCGCATCCCTAATGAATTGAAAAACGGAAGGTTGTAAAACATATTAAAGTATAATATTTAAAATGTTACGTTAACTAAAGAATTAAAAGAGCCGGAAAATTGTTGTGAGTATAAAATAGGACTTACTTCTCGTCCGGCGCTGTCAGGCCAAACGCACGTGCCACTATATTCGTCGAAATGTAATCCGGTGGTACAAGTGATTGAGATTGCCTCGCCATCAATGCAATTATAAAAAACGTTGCAAACCGATGGGTCCGGATGGGCAAAGAAACCATTCCTCCGCGGGCACTTCTTGGTAGGTTGGGGTGGCTCTGTTTTAATTGAAAATGTAACGGGAATTAAGAAGCACTTTCGTTCTCCTCATCGTCGTGATCCTATACTGTATGTCAAGGACACTAACCGCAGTCGCCAATGACACAGATAACCGAGATCTCAATTTTATTGCAACACTCGGCACAAGGGTTTTTATTTTAGAAGTGTGGAAAGCGATAAAATTCTCAAGGTCTAGAGTACGTTCGATTCTTAACTATAATATGGTCACTCATAAATAGTATAAGTACATATATAAATTTAGAATGAAAATTAATTTTCTAATCGTCTTGAAAATAAATTGTCTAATCTTTATTTATCTGTGTCAGTAACTTAGTTAATATGATACATAGTCAAGGATTGAAAGATACAAATGAAATGATTTGAAGGGATTCCGAAAATTGTTGAGAATCATGTCAATCTTACGTAATTCAAGGCGGTCCCCGCAGTCGACGTTGAATACGTGATCGCATTTGTTCACTTTGCGATTCAGGGGATCGAAAACAAGTCCATCTGGACAGAGCTTCTCCGTGGCAACACCGTCGACGCACTGATAGTATTTGTCACACTGTTTCGAATCCTCGTACTGTCCATCCTTGCTCGGGCAATTGAACGCACCATCTATAAATCAATTGCACGTAAACGAAAGTTTACTATCATTATTCAATGCAATGAAATTTCCTCCGCGTTTTACTCGTTATCGTTAAAAAAAATTATCGAGAAAGTAGTTCTACGATCCTGTGATGGAAAAATACATCTTGTTCCCAAGAGAGTTCTCGTTTCACTTTGGAAAAATTGAGAAAACGAAAGAGAAACTAGTACAAATTTCTTAAATTTCTCCACGTTACTTTGCCTTCGCTGTACCGGAAATCAATGCTACGCTTCAGGAAGCATATAAAGTAACCGAAACGAGAAACAGTGCGAAGTGGTCGAACCAGACCGATATCTCTTTCCATTTCACGTATCTCATTATTATTTTATTTCTTTTATGTAATTTATGGATTTCACACGCTGCGTACGAGCGTGCGGGGACGATAGCCGCCGCGTATACTTATGCAACCCGGTAGATCTGACATTTACGCTTTAGAAAGTGTAGTCCAACTGTCGCTTACACGCTCTCCGAGTGAAATGAATGCCTTCATATTGGAACGCATACTTGGAAGAGACATGAACGATTTTTTAACAAGTTTCAGATACTTGAATAATTATGAAATTTTACCGGTTTCTCGTGACGATTACGATATACCGGAAATTTGGTAGCATTTTAGAAGCTGCCCGAACCGTGTCAGCAAACCAAGAGAAAGTGTTCCGGGTATGTTTCAGTGAAACCGTTCCTTTTTTCTTTCTTTTGCTGTCCGCAATTAGCATGCACTATTTCTTACTTTCGGTTCAAGCTGTAGAAGCCTTTCGTTTTACATGTAGCTAATGGTATATTGTTCAAAAACATGCGATCATGCAATTGAGAAATTGTGAATGCAACCATATGATATATGTGTTCTTGAAAAATTATTATATCAATGTTTCGTTCATTAATAATTTGTTACTAGCCGTAATTAATTAAATATGGATCCAATGGAAAATGCTTTAATAGTATTAATAGAACCATTGGACAAATTGAGTTTTGGATACAGATTTACTTACGTGTGGCAGCGATCACAGTCAGTATCGTTACTGCAAAGGATGCTCTGATCATCTTTATGTGTTTTACCGGCTCTTACAAATTATACGAATTAGTACGCGGCCACTGTTCACCGAGTTACTCGAGTAATTTATATTTTTCAGTTCTCCCTTGAAACGACGTCTCCGAAACACTGCAGCTCTACGGCAAGTGACGAACGGTGTATACCCGATTGGTCCCCACTACGATCATCGTTTCTTCCCCACTTTCGCCATATTTCCATCGATGGATAACTGTCTAGAATCAAGATTGATCGAACGGACCACGCGCTTTTACCCATCTTTCTCTCTTCTCTCTTCGCGGTCGTCGCTGTTCATCTTCTTCCTTTCGTTTTTTATATCGTGACTCTTACTCTCACTTCGACGTCCTTCACTGTATTCTCTACGAAAAGGATTGAATACTACCGTATTCTTGCGAGGGATCATCGCATTCTTCACACGTTTCGAAATACAGGCAATTATGCCTATCAACTCGCATGATCTTCATTCGTAAAAAATTTCCGCCAATCGTGAATCGTTTCTCAGAACTAATGATTACAAAATCAGTGTTCAGTTGCTTGGCATATTTGATAGAACAAATTTCAGGAACGCTTCCTTTGGAATACCGAGAACTTCCAGACTTTATATAAACTTTGTTTGTTCACGGAAATTTACACGCGATTGGAATACATTACCGAAACGCGAGAGTAGCAAAATGATAACACATAGACGCGATGTTGCAGATTAAATGAAAATATTATCGTGAAATTGAATTTCACATACGACAACGATCTGATATAATCTCCAATAGTAATCTTCAATAATCTTTAGTAATCTTCAATAAACTCGTAATAAATGGATGAGTAAATATGAGATGTCTCAGTATCAGTATTACTAAGAAAATGTGAAGTATAATACCTGTGATTATTTAATTACACCTTAATTAGAAATCATAATCAGAGGATAATTTTGGAAGTCTTTTATTTAAAAAATGATCATATTAAAAACGTTTTATTATCCAGGTGGTATAAGTCAGTGAGTATTAAAATCTATGTATTTATGCATTAAATCTATGATGGTGGCTTGGTGACTTTTCGTCTGCTAGGTCCACCAGTAGATTTCGGTCTTGTTGGTGGATTCTCCAAAGCATCCAATTCCTCGTCCGTCAGTTGTCCTTTGTACCAGTCTTTGCTGAAATTTTATAAGAACACATTTTTTTATATGATCGTTTATAGCATTTTTGTACTTTATACGCAATATTTTAGTAGTAAGACAAATCTGCATTGAAATTTGGCTTTTTTTTATATTTATCGGGTGAACAAGCGAGCTTTAATAAGCGAAAACTGTCAGTCGATGACAGCAAACATCGTTGCTTTAACTCACCATTCGGGTATTTTCCTGGCCCAATCGCATTTTCCGGTGCGTTCGTCAAAAGCTTGACCCAATTTGCAACCGCTCCTCCTTGGTATCTCGCCGTTCACGCAAACATAAAAGTATTGGCAGTCCTCGGTGTCGGGATATCGGGGATGCGTCGCGGCGATAGACTCGTCAACCTGCGGGCACGTGAAATTGAACAATTCCCTGGAACCGCAGCCCTTCTTCTGCGCCTCGTCCGGCCAATTGCAGATACCGGTCTTTTCCGAAAAGACCAGACCATCCGGACACGTGATCATGTTGAACTTTCCTTCGACGCAGTAGTAGAACGTGTTACATATTCGAGGATCCTCGTGGGCGAAGTAGCCGTGCATGCGGGGACAATGCGGAGACGGTTGAGGTTTCTCTGTGTGTAATACCATTTTTATTCATCGTTATTAGAAATGTTACCATAGTCTGTGACCTGATCTCGAAGCGAATAGACTCTAACAAGTTGTGTCGAGAACGTTATTCTATTACGCTTCATTGAAATCGAAATTGAGTGAAATCAAACGCGAGGGTTATAAAGGTAGCGCTCCAAAAGTTTCTGATGTTATAATTTGATAAATTATAGTTAAAGTTAGTAATTACAAGAGTTTTCATCGAAACATTAAAGTTTCAATGTACTCACGTAATTTTGGCCTTTTGGAGCAATCGATACCGAACGGTAGATCGCACTTTTCGTGTTGAGGACTGAAATCGTTAAACACGAGACCGTCCGCGCATAATTTCGCGACAGCTTTCCCATCCCGACAGTCGTAGTACTTGTCGCATTGTTCCGCATCGGGAAAGTAACCGTTGGGCTCCGGACATTGATCCGAAACTTCTTCGTCCTCGTACTCTTCCTGCTCCTCTGTTGCTGCCTGCTGCTTCTTCTGTAACGCTGGTACAGCCACTTTCCGACGATTTTGTTCGAGTGCTTCCTGTTTCCTCGTCAAGGCGGTTACAGCGCCTAAAATGTAATAATGATATAACGATGGATATCATTGCTACTTTAACAAAAAGATTTCTATACAATCTGTACCCAACAATTTGTACCAAATACTCAATTCCAGACCTGAATAATTGTTTTACTTCATCTTATACATTGTGCTCTCGTGCACAGAATTTCTCCATCGTTTTCATTGCTATTTCATTGCTATTTGAATCCAATGGAATTGAATACCATTTCTATTCTTTTCCCCGGCGATAAAGTGAATATCGTAGAACGCGGATACGTTCGCGTCGACGGCCAGGAATAACGAATGAATTTGAATAAAAAAAATACAAAGAGGAGAAGGTAAAATGAGGGAATAAAAACAGTGAATGGCAGGAGAGGAGGGTCAACTGGTCGGGAGTATTTTCAAGGCAGCGCGACGTCTTGCGTCCCTGAATAAAACGCCGGTTTTGTAGGATACGTATAGGTAGGTATAACAACGTCAAAGAGCCGCTCCGCGCGCCGGTCGACCTCGCTGACGCGAAGAAAGCGAGAAAGTGCCCGAGCTCCCGTATGTGTTTGCTCGGCCAGAACTTAAATGTCGTTTAATCGCTCAGACCTGTTAACTTTCCAACACTCTATACCGTCAGGCTTTTGATACAAAAGTCGTAGATGAAAACCGTACGAACAAGAATTCGCTGCGTGAATCAGGCAAAGTCAGTTTTTAAACAAATTGAAAATTCTGATAAATGTGCATTTACGGCACTAGAAATTAGTGCAGACAATTATTTAATTCGAATATATTGTACTACAAAGTACGAATAGACACGTGCAGGCTGGAGAAATTAAACTTTCTATAAAGAAGCACGGGTCGAACAGATTTCCCAATAACGAACGATGGCGCAAGTTCTTTCGTGATCAGATAGGAATCGTGTATCCTCGTAGAATGCATCAGTCAAATTATGAATGAATCATGCGAGTCGTATGAGATAGTTCGGACAATATGTATGTAAATCGGGGTCGAGATTTCCATATTGCATGCATATTTTCACGCACGATCAAGCATAGACGATCATTAAAAATCGTTTATAAAATAGAATTAAGAGTAAATTGCGCGTATCATAATAATACCGTGCACACATTTACAATCGACAAATTCTGATAACAATCGAAAGAATAGTTGAATCTATATCGTCATTCTAACGAGTAAAACAATACGGCGACTAAAGGTCACTAGTCGAGCTGTATGTTACTTTATGATTTATTGTCAAGGCATTCCTTTATCCTTTGAATTTCATTCTAATCAAGTACATTACAAATTCAAATAATGAGTGTGCATTTATACAAAAATTTTATTGTTTTCACTGTGTGAAGGGTGTACATAAAAATAATTACAGTTAAGATATCATTAGTTACTGTAAGGATAAAGATTTTTGACAAGAATTAAGACATCGTTTTCGTTAGAATTACTTACCGAGACAGATAATTAGCAGACAGAACACCTCCGCCTTCATCTCGACGGAGGTAGGGAGTAACTGGTTAAAATTATAGTGGTCTTGTTATCTCAGAATCAAGTCACGGTTCTTGGAACGTGAAGGAATTGATGACTAGAGACTACTGGGCCCCATCGAGAGGGTCCCGAGGCCTTATATGCGTCCCCCACTTTTCCATTCGCGAGGTTACAACACTCGATGACCGCGTGGAATTAAAGGAGAACTATTGCTCTTCTGCATACTCGCGTTGGACGACTGCTACACTATAGATGCATCACTTTATACTTTTAGGTAGCGAAAATATTTTTGGTGTCTATGCATCTTCATGATGTTATCTCCCTTTAACGGTACGTCGAATTCAACCGCATCTTTGAATCATCTTAAATTGCACTGAATAAAACTTCGAGTTTCTATTCGTATTTAATAGCAAGTTTCACGATCCCACCATCCACCAGGATATTTTCTGATCCAAAATTTTCTGAGTTCGTCGTAGATCAAAATAATAAAAGCGTATGGTATTCCCGGCAGCCACCAATCGAAGAACAGTGGATATGTTCTGAGGATCTCGTCCATGTACGGCGCGTAGCAAACAACGCACGCCACTATTATTTCGAACACTATGCCGAAGTTAAGCACCCAGTTGCTCATACCCTGCTGAAATAGCGAGTTCCTGCTCGTCTTGCAGATCATCACGTCAGCCACCTGTACGATCACTATACTGACGAAGAAAGCGGTATGGCATGTATATTCGAGGATCTTTCGTTGTTCGTACGTCCATTCCTGGCCGAAGCTGTCCTGCAAATCGTTCACGGAACTGCTATCCCACAACGATCGCAAGTTCAGTAATCTGTCGGGTAGAAATCCGCACTCGGCCATCACCACGAAATACGTAAAGAAACCGGCGCACGCCTCGATCACGCCGATCTGTCCGTAAGACACGAAAAGCAATCGCCGACTGACCAGGTGATCGATGTTAGGTATTCTTGGTTTTCTGTAAGTTTCAAAATTTGAATTGTTAGTTGAATTATGGATCGAAGCGATGAATACCTGAGCATGATATCCGATTCGGATTTCTCGTAAGCCAGAGAAACGGCCGGCCACATATCCGTCCCGAGATCTATGCACAATACGCAAATCACGCCCACGGGTAAAGGTATTCCGAGTACTATGAATGCTAAGAAGGGTGTTATCTCCGGGACGTTGCTAGCCAAGGTGTACGCGATGCTCGACTTTAAGTTGTCGAACAACCTTCGACCCTCCTCGATCCCGGTAATTATTGTTGCAAAATCGTCGTTCAACAAAATCAAGTCTGCTACTTCTCTGGACACATCCGATCCTAATATTAATCAAGTTGAAAATAATTTTAATTGGAAACAGTAACAATGTTCTTCTGATTATCCTTAAACTTGACGGTACCCGCAATTCCCATGGCGATACCGATATCTGCCTTCTTCAATGCCGGCGAGTCATTGACTCCGTCACCAGTGACTGCGGTAATCAAATGAAGCCGTTGACAACTCTCCACGATCTGCAGCTTCTGCACAGGCGAAGTTCTAGCAAAAACTATCTCGGGATATTCTCTTATGATACTGTCGAGTTGATCCGATTCCAAATCCCGCAACTCCATTCCTGTTACCACGATCGAGTGCTTCTTTCCCTCCTGATCGTGCAGGAAATCGTCAGTGATGATACCGACGTATTTGGCGATCGCCCTTGCCGTGTCAGGGTGATCACCGGTAACCATGATCACCTTGATCCCGGCGCAGCGACAATTATAAACCGCGTCCGGCACCGTTGGCCTCGGTGGATCCATCATCGATACCAATCCGATCTAGCAATGTTGAATACGAATGATAGCCGAAACGAAGTGGTGATCGGACAATAGCGCTGATAAAATTACTAGTCTCAAATTCTCAAGAGGAAAGTTCGGGGGGTCTTCGTGAAACACGTAACCCGGCGGGAAAGTATTCACGGGAAGGTCGAGATCGGCAAAACCGAGCACTCGTTCGCCATTATTCGCAAGGATGTAACAAGACTCCGTGTAAGCGTTCCTGATCTCGTCATCCAAATCCACCGTTTCGCTGCCAAACGATACAGTCGAACATCGATCTATAACTCTTTCAGGTGCGCCCTTTAGGAAAATAGTGTGTTTCTTGCCAATAAGGTAAACGTTTGCCTGATACTTGTCGGTGGAATTGAACGGTACTTCGAACACCTAAACGCGAAATCGAATTGTTTCTAGTTTCTACCAGTTTGTTAAATTGTTAGCGAACAATAAATATGAACCCCGGTACCTTGGTATAAGCTTTCCTGTACGCATCCGTGCCGCCTCTAACAAGAACTTCCATGCATTTTAACAAAGCAGCGTCGGAAGCATCTCCCAGAATCTGTCTCTTATTCAAAGGTGGTTTAGGTACGTTCGGAGGTAAAGTCGCCCATTCGGCTCGATTGCAAAGGCAGGCCACTCTAGCCAAGTTATGGAATCCAGGATTCTTAACGTATTTTCGCCACGTGTCAGAGGCCATTACCTCGTGCAATTTACCGTCGTACCACATGTGTCGAACCTGAGCGGCAAACAGCGAAACCGATTTTGCAACTACCGATTTGCGGAAAGTATTGTGATAAAAGAACACCGCGGAATAATAAAATAGAGAAATTTCCATGGAATTTAAATAAGCAGTCCTTATTCTTATACGCAATTTAACACTTTAAAACCGTAAACAAGAAACGAATGATTCAGTTGGCTTACGGTCATTTTATTTTGCGTAAGTGTTCCTGTTTTGTCACTGCAAATAACAGCGGTGCATCCGAGCGTCTCAATGGCTTCCAGATGCTTCACCAAGCAATTTTTGCTCGCCATTCTCTTAGCCGTTACAGTGAGGCTGACGGTCATGGTGGCCACCAGTCCCTCCGGAACGTTCGCGACTATGATGCCAATTAGAAACGTCGTCGAAGTGATCCAACTGTACCCCATCGCGGCGGAGAGAGAGAAAAATAGTATGCCCAGAAAAATTGCCCAGCACGATATCAATTTCATGAACCGTTGGATCTCGCGCGAAAGCGGCGTCGGTCTCGGTGCCAGCTTCGCCGTTAATTTAGCGACTCTTCCCATAACTGTATCGTTGCCGCAAGCGACCACGACTCCTTTCCCAGTGCCTGTTAACGAAACTTCTAAAAAACGGTACGGGAGATATTGGGAAATTGTGGGAAACGCTTGCAAAGTGAACTGGTAGGAAATCGTTCCCTTGTCCATTACCTTCCACTATATCAGTCGAGAAGAAAACCATATTTTTAGCTTCCATCAGTCCGCTTTCTAGCTGTACGTTCGCTGTTCTCAAAAGCGGGATCGATTCGCCGGTAATAGAGGCATTGTCAACCTTGAGGCCTTAACGATAATTAGACCGCAGTTATTGACCCGGATTCTTATTTTTCTAAATGCAATTAGAGAAATAGAATTGCGATCGAACTTTGAAAGATTTTACGAATACTGCACGATTCTGTAAATTTTGTTTACATTAAAATCATCGCGATATCTCGTCGGTTGACGAAGAGAATCTTTTTCGTTGAGAAATAAGAAAGTTACGATTGCACCTACGACGATACGAATTTACCTTGACATTCCAGAATCCTAATGTCAGCAGGTACTCGGTCACCGGTTTCCAAAAGGACAATGTCCCCGACGACCACTTCAGCAACACACAACTCCTTTTTCTCGCCGTCCCTAAGGACTTTCGCTTTCGGCGGCAACATCTGCTGGAATGATTCCATGATCCGCGAACTTTTCGACTCCTGATAGTGGCTGAACATTGCTGTAATTAAAGTCAGAGCGACAAGCACCACTCCGAGGCCCAAATGCTCGTTCGACCCCTTGCCGTAAGCCCCGCGTTCCAACAAGTAATTGCAAAAGCACAATACCGCGCCCACCTGAGGAATTTTTATTTTCGTTCATTACGCGCGTCGCTCGAAACCGATTTAATTACGCGAGGCGTTTGAACACGTCTTTGCAAACGCAATTCGCAAGAAAAGACTTGTGATTTCATCCATTCAATTTTCATATTCATACCCATATGAGGAAAGAGAATCCACCGAAACATCGTTGTAAGAATTTCAGAACGCTGGAAGTCACTCTCGGAGGCGTTAGTGCATTCAAACCATGTTTGTTTAAGAGATCGCGTGCAGCGGTCGTGGATAAACCGTGGTTGGCGTCAGTTTGCAAAGTTTGCAGTAAATCTTGTGGCGCCTGGAGGTGAACGTCCGTTTCGATATCGCGGCGCAAAGATTCCATATTAACGGCAGCGCGTAGGCTTCTGTGCCTACGGAAAAATTGCAGCATTTTCCAATTGAAACGCCCGCGCTAACTTTTGTTAAAATTAAAATGTAATAAAAATGCGAAATAACCAAAAGGTTTACTCGATACTAAAATATTATATCGAGATATCGTAAGATGAATTTACAGTAACGTAACGTGTCTTAATCTTACCCTGTATTATTATTGAATATTCGTAATCAACAGGAAACAGATTTATTATGGAATTTAGGGTCTTGAAAATGAAAAATAAACGTAGAAAACACTGAAAATCTTACTTTATTTATTATAATAATTTATATTGTACAATGAGAAAAATGATGCCTAAACGTGTGATATTTTGTATAATTCATTCTTGTTTGATCCTAATCTTTCTTCAAATGATGTATATCCAATAATTATAAACGTAATACAATGTGCGTAATAAAAAATGTGGAATGGATCGAAAGTAAACGTATACCAGCGGAGTTACTCTGCTTTACCGCAGGAACGTTCCGACGAACGTGGCGCTGATGTGCAAAGGCCGAACTTGTACGAGGATGAGAACCTGAAAGACGCCACGCAGAGAAATCGAGTCGAGTCTCGGACCGCCATAATAGCGCCATAGCGGTGTGTACCTCGTCCCGCTCGTTTTTCTGCTGTGACACGACGCTTACCGACGCTCGGCGTCGTTTCTTCGGGTTGCGATTAATGAACGAATTGCAAATTACGATCGAATTATCCGTTTTGATCGCGTTTAGACGCGCGGTGCGTCATTATATGAATACGGGACGCGTTTAGAGAACTGGGTGTCAAGAACGTGTGAGTGTGTGCTTTTGTAGGTGCTCTGAACGGACGGTAGTCGAGAAAAACATGGAGAATAGGCCGGCGTCGCTCCGATCCAAGCGAGTTTGTCGATTCTGCTTGACGGAATCCGAACCGCTTCATTTCATCTACGAGAGGGATCATAGTAAACCACTCCAGATTCCGCTTACCCTAAAGATCATTTCGTGCGTCGCCATCGAGGTAATTACTATTTTCTTTCAGCGCAGAATCGACGGTCACTTATTCATTCTCTATTTGTCCCATGTTCGGGAGTAACATGCTTTTTGTCGTCGTCCTTATTTTCCACACTTTACTCATTCGTTTCATCGAGTATGAACGGGCTCTGTTGAACTATTTGTTGTCATCGGTGATATTTTTTATCGAACGGTCAGTGAATGACATGGTCTTGGATAACGCAGCTGTCTTATTTACCGACAGAGACGAACACTATCGTACTTCGATTATTAAAATAACAACTAAAAATTTAATTATAGTTGTAAACAAACAATACATTAATGTTTCGAAGTTTAATATAGATCATCGATAAAATCGAATCGATAGAATGCAGTCATGCATCGCCGATAACTTTAACGAGCGCTGTGATTGTAAAATGTAATTTTGCCTCATTTTCAAATAGTCGTACCCTCTACCATCAATATTTATAAAGAAGATAAGTGTTTTCCAAGTAATATCTAAAGCTGTGTTATCATCTACTGTCTCTCCTCGACAGAATAGATTTTTGCGAGGGAACGACTATGCATGTTATCGATTATCGTACACTATTCATAGATTCGTAAACTATCATTACTCACTATTATTTATCAATCAGTAATCACCATTTGTACTTTTCGAGTAATTTGTTTTTCGTACTTTTTTCGTATTTTTAGTATTATTATTATAATTATTATTATTATTATTATTATTATTATTATTATTATTGTTGTTGTTATTGTTATTGTTATTATTACTATTACTATTATTAATTTTTTAAATAGTCTTTTATGTGTTTATGAAATTTTTGAACATTAATTACCTTTGCATATTGTGATATATCAAATTTAAATATATTTTGTTATTACTCTTAAGGTGTATGCAGCCGATGGGATGCCGCAGATGATATGCAACATGTGCCGTTGGAATCTGGATAGATCTTATAGATTCAAGCTCCAATGCAAGAAAGCGGACGAAGCATTGAGGGCTTACCCGTTATCCGGAATTCTACCGCGACCATTTCCACCGATACCGTGCGATCCTCCGGATATAAACAACAAACGACCTTTAGAACAGAGGTCCCCAAACGAGGGAGCCAAAAAGCCTCGCGTCGATAACGACAGAGACAGAAGAGAAACCCGTGAGAGGGAAAGAGAAAGGGATCGCGAGAAAGAAAGGGACAGACAAGCGGAGGAGCAACGTGATTATTACGAAGAAGAACAAGATGCTGGTAGCGAGAACGATCAAGAAGCAACCAGTGGTAAAGAGGACCGAAAATTGGAACCAGGTGAAATTCGAGTGCACGCGTGCGATCAGTGCGAACGCACTTTCCCGTTGCGGCAAGCTCTCGCTCTGCACATATCTCGAGCTCATCGAGATCGCAGTTTCAAATGCACGGAATGCGAGCGAATGTTCTTCTCTAAATACGATCTGCAGAAACACGCAATCACGCACGCTGAAGAGAAACCGTACTCGTGTCCCATCTGTAAGAAACAATTCTCGCGAGCGAATTTGTTGCAACGACATGAGAAGGTACACAGAGAAGAATTGAATTATGCTTGTCAACATTGCGATCGGGAATTCTTCACAGCGGAGGACTTGGAGAAACACGATGAGACGATGCACAAAAAGGAAAAACCGTATCAATGTAACATTTGCAATAAATGTTTCACGTATAAACAAGGCTTGGAACGTCACGAGATGCTGCACAGCGAGGACAAAACGTTCGTTTGTGAGTACTGTAAGGAAGCATTCCGCACAAGTACAAAGCTAGCTCGACATTTAACGTCGCACGCCGGGCATCGACCGTATCTCTGCAAACTGTGCCCTCGGTCATTCCTGCTTTCCCATCATCTGACCAGACACATGCGAACGCATTCCGTGGAGAAACGTCATGTTTGTGAAGACTGCGGTAAAGCATTTAAACGGAAGGAGAGCCTGGAGGTGCATCAGCTAACGCACACGAAACGCACGGGTATGGGATTAACATGCGACGTTTGTCAAGAATCTTGCAGAAACAGAGCGGATTACGTCACGCACATAAAGCAACATATCGAGGCAGGCGAGAAAATGGGACCGGATGGATTGCCACCAGACAATAAAAGCAAACTGGACATAGATTCAGACGAAGAAGAGGAAGAAGAGCAATACTCCGATGGAGACGATGATTACACACCGCCTGCATATATCGTCAGGAAGCTTCCTAAGCCGGTTAAACCGTCGGAGAGCGAGGAAGAGCAGGAAGTATTGGAGAAAGAAGAGCAGGACAGCCAGAAAGAACAAGTTGTATACGTACGGCGCAAGGATGGGAACATGGTTAAAAAGACGATCAAAACTTTGATGCCTATTCCACGTAAAGATGTACAAGATGCGAAGCTGAAACAAACCTCTATTAGCAACCAGTCTCAATCGAATATAAAATCTTCGCAGTCGAAACAGAACGATGAAACGCCGAAGTCTTCCCGCGTGGACGAAACGGAAGCACAAGTACAAAAAATCGTGGCGTCTGTATTCAAAGAACATAAGATTCCATTGAAACATCAGAATGTTCAGGAACAAAATAAAGAATCGCATGCGCCGACGAATCAGACGAAACTACAGCAGAGTACTCAGAATCAGGTTCAGAAGGAAGAGAAACCTGAAAGTACCGTAGTAACCAGTACACCGAAGACTGTAAACACCGTCAAAGTTATAAAGAGAATCGTGGTGAGAAAGCCTGGTGGTACCACCGATACGACGGCTACTACGGTTCCGGCGAAAGAGGACGGCGACGCTGGAACTAGTACCACTCAGACTAATACAGGTCACAAAGTAACGAAGAGAGTAATCGTTCGTCGAATCATTCGTCAAGGAGATACTACGAGAGAGGTGATCATGAACCCCGATGGCACAATAATAGACCCGGCGGAATTGGCCAAACTACCAACTGGCAACGTCGTAAAACGAGTCGTTGTAAAGAAACCCATCGACAAACATCAAAGCTTGGTTCAAGCAGTGCTGCAATCAGCCACAACGGATGTAAAACAACCATCTGGTGCTACAATAAAGAGCAGCGATACTGTATTAAACGAAACTCCTAAATTCGAATTGAAGACGTCGCAGTCCACGCCGAGCGCATCGTCTTTAGGAACGAAAACAACTGTGACTACTACGCAAAAGCCCGCGTCAACGGCAGTAGGAGATCGAGAAACTAAAGAGAAGTTGGAACAGCTGGAAAAACGAGTGGAGCAACAACGTCTGAAGATAGAAGAATTGGAAGCTCGCAAACAGCAACAACAAGAATACGAACCTACCATCGAGGAAATGTCTCCGGAACGTCACGATGAATCTGACGATGAACAGCAGTTACCGTTGAAGAGAGTGTTCGTGAAAAAGAAGCAGAGCATGTATGACGAAGAGCAAGAGTACAATGATACCGAAACGACGGTAGCTTCTTTGTCGACACCTGCAAGTACGCCTATATCTACCACGACGACTCTCGCGACTACAGGAATAGAGAGTGTTCAAATTTTATTGGAATCAAAAAAAGAAAAGGAAGCTTCTGAAACTGAAATCAAAACAGAAATCAAAACAGAAGTTGAAACAGAATCTGAGAACATAGAAAGTTGTATGGCATCAACTACTATAACGACGGTACCAGCATCAATTACGATAGCACCAACAACAATAGCAACAACAACGATAGCAACAACAACGATAGGAACAACAACAACGGTACCGGTAATAACATCGGTAGTAGCAACACCAGCTGTAGCAGCGACAACGGGGGTAATAGCAACAGTAACAGCGCCTACTATCATTAGGAGAGAAGGTAAACCAATTGTAACCAGTTCGAAAGTTTACTCGAATAAAAAGATCATCGTTGTAAAAGCGGAGGAAGCATCGGAGGTTGAAGAAATGAATCGAGAATTGTGCAATATATTAGACTCAGCCGATTCCGTAGTCAAAATGCAAGAATCGGTCCTGAGTAATCTTACTCAAATATCCATCGTAGAAACTCCTCAGAAAACGTGCAGTGACAAGCCGAAAGCCGGCCCATCGAACGTCGAAGATTTTCCAACAAAAGTTGAAACTGACGAAACTGGTTCTGCGGATGAAGAAATTAGTCTAAAATTGGACAACACGCTAGACATAGTGAATGACCAGGAATCTGACAGAAAAGTTGAACCTGTACCCGCTGAAGTACAAGAACTGATGGACCAATCCGAAGAAAGTACAAGTCTCAATTTGGAGCAAGAACTTTCAGAATCGGGGGATATATTTGAACCATCGGATAATGTACTAGGAGTACAAAAAAATCAGTTGTCTGATTCCGTGATAGTAGAACTTGATCACGCGAATCACACGATTACTTTGAACGATACCAACGACAGTCAGGATAGTCTTGAGGATAAGCTTCAACAAATGGAAGGTTGAAATTTTGATTGAAAGGTATTGACAAAGATATAACAAACACGTTGATATCGGAGTAAAGCCTTATTTTAACATCAGTAAGCTCTAATTTTAATCAATTTTACAAATTCGGTAATCGTTCTCGATGATTTTCTGTATGCATAGCCACTACAGTCGTTTTATCGGATAGGTTAGTTAATTATAACATAACGTTTAAGATATTCTTTTATCTTAGATCAAGACACTTCCTACTTTAGTCTTTTTCTGTACGACAAGTATAACCGTTGTACATACCTACAATATTAGCTATTAAAGTCAGAAAAACATAAGTTAGTGCCTAGTAATGAACATTTTCATATAAAGAAAAACGTTTAATACAAAAACCTTTTTGCATCAACGTATAAGGATGCTGCAAATAAAATATAAATACAATACAAGTGGGATGGAAGTTCTAGATTGAAATTTGCTGTAGGTGTGCCTCCTTGTCTAATATTTATGTGTACGTTGTGAAACGAAGTTTCAAAATGATTTCATCTATTACATTCTACGTGCATACGCACTTTCTTACCAAACATAAGACGCGTGTGTATATTGTATATAGTTATATACATCACACAATTAGCAGTGCTCATTAAGTTATATAGTACTTCATGTAAAACACAGGCTTGTATATAATATACCAGATTCAGATTGCGAACATAGTAGAGTATGTTGTTTACATTTAGCCATATAAAACAGCTTTGAAGATTGAAGATCAACATATATTAGCATATATGGATATATAAGCAACGTACACTATGTTGGCAGTCTAGTTAGTCTAGAATATCATATAGAAGTCTGAAACAATTGAAATCTTTATCATTTTCATTTTATGAACAAATGCTCCTTGATGCTGCACACGTTTTTAGATTGTTATTTAGTAACATCTTCGATGTTGGGAACACTTATAGTATTTTCATGAAAATTAAATTTACTGTAATATTTAATCGATATTCGTATAAAAAATGATATACGAACTACATGTTGTTCTATGACCATTTAAAGGTCTACATAAAATACAATGTGTTATGTAAATGTAAAATTGGAGAAGATGTTGATTATGTTATTGAAATATTCTTACCGCGCACATCATTCGAAGATGATAATAATTCATGTCTCTACAGTAATTTTATATAAAACATTTATATTTTATTTTTCAAAATTGAATTCAGCACATATACATAGGCATACGTGTTATTACATACAACCAATAAAAAAAAGAATTACATCAAAATACGATGAATATACAATAAAATATGGTAATGAACGATTGTTTTACTGGCAGTTCACCAATAAATTAATATTGTATAAATATGAATTAAATATTGAAAGCACGTTGTCACCCGAATTTATAAATTATACATACTGCATGTTACATTCTTACGTACTATGTAGAAGAATTACTTGTATAAATTGTATCCTGAGTTAAGATAAATTGTGTTGAGATAAATAAAATAATCGAACATTAATACGTGGAATAATTTATATTGACGTTAAATATGATTCTCTATACTGAAAGCTAAGTAATGCGTGAATTGCTTTTTTTGTTTATCATATAATGTAGTTCTAATAACTTATCAATTGCAAATACAAGTGCAACTGTATGAATAGGCTGCATTAAGTTGGCAGATGGTGTCGACGCTACATAATTTCAGTTCGGCAGAATCGATCTTTGGTTTACGACAGTTTCTATTCAGAGATGCCGATTTTAATCCACTTTTCGCGTAATTTCTCTTTAAAAGATTTTTAAATATAAGCTTAAATGCATTTCCTTATTTTCTACCAAAATTCTATCAAAGTTCCGTTTTAGTGATTCAATGTTCTTAAAACGAATTCGGCATCCCTTTTTACGAAGAAATATGTATTTCTCTTTCTTTTCAATATTTTAACTTAGCAATTAGAAAATTTGTATCAAAACGTTTGTCATGAAATTTTCATTTTAATAAATGTTTGACTTCTTACACTCCTTTTATAAAACCTCTTTTTCAAATAGTGAATTTACAAAAATAGTTATGAACAGTTTTACGGATGAAGTTCGACAGTTGAAAATTAGATGATTAGCAGCGATTGAGAACATCAAGCGGGGTTGCCTTTCTTCTTAGCGGTAAGACTCTGTAGCTGGAAAAATAACACTTCTAATGCTTTCGATTGCTTCACCGTTTTATCATGTTAGAAAAATTGTAAATTTCCCGTATTCGAATCTTTCTTCGTATCGCCGTTTCTCAAAGGCCACCGCGTCCACTGTCTATGTACTCGAACTTCTGTGGGACAGAGACGAGATTGAAAATTTAAACGAGAAAAGTAGAACAGCGTTTATCAATCGCTCTTACGCAAGATATTAGAACGTAGAAAGATTCTCCAACGAGAATTTTGCGTTTATCGAATTATTTATTTGGAGAAAGGGACACACGTTTTAATAAAATTGTGCGTGTTAGGAACTGTTTTCGTAAAGATCTTTTATATCTGACTTTTTTAAACTTATTACTCTACCTCCTTCTCGTCAGTCGCGGCAGCAGTGTACGCCCTGTTGGAATTTTCTGTTTCCTTCGCGGGGCCAATTACGAACGCGTAAATTAATCCAGCTGCCATCCCACCGAGGATCGGACCGACCCAGTACACCCAGTGATCATTAAATGAACTCATCACAACGGCGCTTCCGAACGATCGAGCCGGATTCATTCCTGCGCCAGTTCTCGGCACCTAAAGGAACGAATAATCCTATATTCTCTACGTGTTAAAAAAATTCAAAATAAAGATAAGAATTTATAATCTTATAGAATAGACAGAAAGCATTACAGTTCCATTTATGTTATAAGTATTAGATGCTTGGTACTCTGTTTTTAAAAAAATTAGAATTTTGCTCAATATAATAAAATTATTAGAATACCACGAAATTACTGAAAAATAAAAATATCGAGTGGAAAAGAATATAACGGGTATTCATCTTACGCCGACTATGTGTCCGATCGAAACGGAAAGTCCGATTATAAGGGGAGCAATTCCTTTGCTCTCTGGTTTAGCTGCGTCGCATGCACCGCATACGACCAGAACCAGTACAAAGGCGAGGAAAAATTCTATCCCGAAGCCTTGGACCGGTGTAACTCCTGGGGAGAGAGACACAACGCCTAGGGCTGTTTCCATTCTGTCTGGAGAAAGGGCCCTCAATATACCAGAGCCCGCTATCGCACCCACGCATTGTAATAAAACGTATAACAGGCCCCTAATAATTGGCACCTGTAAAACAAAATAAAGGATGAGGCAGGTGCAACTACATTAACCTGTCTCACGATCATATCTTGCATTCATTAGATGCATCACTGTGAATGAATTTTCTTGAAATCATGCCTCATCGTTGAACAAGCTGAATAAATTACTGGCGAATATTATTGGTAACTGTCTGATCACTTAATCACGCGTTTCAGGGTGTGTATTATATAGTAGCATACATTTAATTGCACTTAAGTCAATAATACTCAGTCCCGTCAGTTTTGTTGCATAACGTTTGAATTTTCCACTACGATGATTAATGGAAAGAGCTAACACTGCTATTAACTTTATTACTTGGACATTGTTAGCAAAAAAGGAATCGATGTGGTGAACTGTACTATTTATAAAAAAAAGGAGAACGTTGGCTAACGACAAAGAGAACAACGGTTTAACGGTACAATACAAGTTAACGTTAATAGCCGCCTTCTTATGGTTAAACTAGTTCCACGATTCATAGCGTGTAAGGTCACTAAGATAAATTATAAGATCTTTGTCTCACCTTGCCAATCACCATTAACCCGAACGTGACAGCGGGATTGACGTGGCCACCGGAAACGTGCCCTATTCCTTGAATCGCAGCAGCCACAGTCAAACCGAACGCCAAGCTTATGGCAACGACGTTCCCGGTAACGACCGATCCGCAGCCGAAGAAGTTCAAAAGCAACGTGCCGAGAAATTCCGCGACCAGCGCTCGATAAAGACCAGACTTCTTATCTGTGAGTTCACCGGCTCCCAAAGCCTCCTTCAAGCTCGACATCTGCGAAACGGATCGTCCAATTTTAAGTCGACTCGTGACGATAGGACGTTTTGAGATAATAAAAGAGAACGGGATATCGGGGGTCTGAGTCAGTCGATCATGTTTACAACCATAAACAGTAATGCCTACTTTTTTCGCATAATTTCGTCGTGTCTACTATTCCCCGTTTGTTCGACCGACAGTCCTTGTCTTACTCTCGGCGAGCGAACGGATTCCAAAGGGTGGCTCCTTACCTAACGCCGTTAATGATCCCGTTAAAGGTAGACGAGTTTGACGAAACTGCGCGGAGAGCATAAAAAGCGTAGAATATTTTAATCTGCTAGAGTTGTTCACAAAAAGAAGGCAATAACATCAAAGGTTCCGAATGAATCAGTATGGCTTTACGAATAATATCTCAATTTAGGGTAAAGCTAAATGCATGTATATAAAAATGCATAATTATGCATTACTATTATACGTACTAATGCATAATTGGATAGTGCAATGCTAACGAGGAAGAAATTTTATCGAGTTAGATGATCGTTAATACTCGAAAGGATGAGACCGTTTCTAATCCATCGTTTATCAACCACTTTGAAAATGAAACCGGCCGATCGTTTAGCAGTTCCGTCGATTCGCATCATAGATTGAGATCGAGGACGCGAGTACATACAACACATGTGCACGTGCTTGCACGAGTACACGACCGCGTGCGCGATTCGCAGTTACAAATTACGCACGCCGGAGAAACGAAACGTTAGGTTAACGAGGGACGACGCATCCAGGTTGTATTACGCATGCAGATCGTCATATCCTCGACTATCGCGACTGATCACCGTCTAGAATTATATACTTAATCGTTTACTCTTCGCCCTAATCGTCACCCACGCCGCCGTGTCATCCCGTCAGATTTCACTTCTTCAGTTATTATCTAGACGCTAACGTTTTTAAGACTATTATAATTACATAGTTAACTTCAAATTTGCTATGCAAAGTAGACGTGTAGGTGGTACAACATACAAGATTGAATATTGTCTAGTTTCATTTTGACTAAAAATAAATATGAATTCTCATTTAATTTCTAATTTAACACTGTGAAACATATTTTATGGTAAAATATCTAAGACAATTTTAAAGGACACTGGCTAAATCTTACGTTGTAAAAACTGAATTTCACATTGCGCATCATCAATTCTATTACGTCAAAGTCGAAGCAAATTTAATGATATTACGGTGACAGATGTACTTAGTAATACTCAGTTCCATAGTAGTGTAGGTCGATCATTTCCTACTCTTTCTTAATTTTCATCCCACCTCAGGCTCAGTTTATCACGGTCCCATTTTCTAATCAAATCTTCGTCCGAGTTTCGCGGTGTAACGGTTAACGATGAATGGGACTCAGCCGTGTAACAGAAGGACAATAATGCTAGAGATGAGGTAGATTGAGAAACTGTCGTTGAGTTTATGTACGAATCGCACGAAAGACCATATTCGCCTGATTCAATGATGGATTTAATTCGGATGAGATCATCTGTGTGCGCGAGCTCGACGAACTACGAGGGTCTCGTCACGTACCTAATCGTTGCTTTTTCCACGTCCCCGTCTTTCTTCGCGATAATGAAATACGTACAGTATTATGTCAGAAGCCTTGAGCTGTTCGTTAAAAGAATTCTACACTGTCTGAGTGAACAAGTTCAGTTTTCCAATTATTTCTGACACGGGGATGGTACCTAAAAATGTAATATGTCTCTTCTTCCATTAATATTTTTAAGTGGGATTAAAAAATGAATAATGGAGAAGGAATGAGATTTTCGCACACGATGTTCTGAATAATGCATTGAGAATGTTTGTATTTGTTCATTCAACTATCGCAATAACGTGCGAAACTTTATAGTGTACGATACTCGTTTCGATTTTTACCTTGTTATATGAAAATTAATAGTATTGTTCTTTTTCTAAGTTTTCCGCAATTACGATGTTAATGAACCTGCGCCGCGAATGATGTTTAAAGAAAACAGACGTGACAATGAATGAGTACGTGTTTACGTTAACGGGTTCGCGCGTCAATTATTATTTTATCTACGCTCATGCTAACGAATGTTCAGATGAACTCACAAGTCACGTAGAAATCGAAATCATTAAACTATCTCGCGTCAACTAGATATTTTCAGTGAATTTCAGCAATCATTTTACGTAAATTGATGAAGAACGTCAACGAGGGTACAGATGGATACACGAATGTCAGAATCGCATTAAAAATTTGTTTATTTTGATCGCCTTCGTGTTTATTCGGCTTGTACACGTTCGATGTGATCTGAAACAGTTAACCATGGTTCGTGCAAATAAATTATTGGACGTAAAATGTTCATCGAGTCAGGCATCTGGTAGGTGAATCGCACGAACACGGGTGTCATTAAAGATGTCGTTCAAGCCCGATCTAGCTCGGTGTCTGTACGGGGGTGTTCGATTTTTTCCGATGATGTCACGCCGCGAGATCATGTTCTCTCGTCCGAGCGCGATGCATTCCAATTTTTCAGTTTAGATTCGCGGAATTCGCAATTAGCGTTACTACGCAATTACTTTTGTACTTAAACTGAGAAAAAAACATGAACACATTCTTTTTAAGCTCAAGGATATCAAAATATTGTGACAGAAAAACAGTTTTAATATCCTAGAATAATATATCAATTTACGTCTGCTCTGCCAATTTTGTGTTCAGATTCATACCTATTTCTTTCGCTACTAATAACAAGCTCCAATTTTTTGGGATAAATTCGACATTTC